CAACCAATTTGCCCAGTACTGAAGTTAGGCTTACTGGCCTATAATTGTCAGGATTGCCTCTGGAGCCTTTTTAAAAATTAGTGTGATATCAGCTATCTTCCAGTCATCTGGTACTGAAGAGGATTTAAATGATCGGTTACATACCATAATTAGTAGTTCTGCAATTTCATATTAGAGTTCCTTCAGAACTCTTGGCTGAATACCATCTGGTCCTGGTGACTTATTACTGTTTAATTTATCAATATGTTTCCAAACCTCTTCTATTGACACCTCAGTCTGGGAGTTCCTCAGATTTGTCATGTAAAAAGAATCTGTATTATGTTTTAAGAATATTATTTATTATTAGATTTTCCTGTTCAATTTTATATTGCTGCATGACTGAATGCATAGAGTTAAGTCAAAGGAGGCTGTAAAGTGGAGGTTTAAGGAACCCAGGAAAGGTAAACCAATGACACAGATAAAACAGACTGTCAGGTACCTGCTTCAAAGGAGTTAAAATAACAATGGCAGGGTCATCAACTGGGGGAAGAAGCTACCTAGCTGGCACCAGCCAGGCCAGGAGGTATTCACTCTTCCCAAAGCTAAGCCTGGCATCAAAAGAAGCCCTAACCCCTTCCCCCAAGCCTCTGGTAGAAAGGGATAGGGGAAGTGGTCAGAGATGCTGATCAGGATGTGGCTGTGGAAAAAGCTAACAGTCTGATGGAAACAAAGAGACAGAGGGTCCAGGCTGCAATCAGCATAGGCGTGTTTTCCCAAATCAGAAATGGGGAATAAACCAGATCCACCTGAGAGGCTAGAGAGCTTAAGTTTAGGGAAGGGAATAAGCATTTAGTTCTCTGTTATTTTAAATCCATTTCTCCAAGTGCTGTCTACCTTTTTGGAAAAGAAGTCAGGCTTTGTTTTGAAGAAGCTGTTTATGTCTCTCTGCATATGTATGTTGTCACATGCTCCCCAAGAGAAACTCTTTCAGGGTCTGATCCCAGTTTGACCTGCTGAATTAACCTCAGTTGATACTGGGGGCTGTAACCCAGGTCCTGGTCTGAGAGTGGGTGAACTGGGGAATTCCACCTCAGCCCAAGTAAAGGCCTGAGGCCTGACACCTGTGAAATGCACTCAGACAGATCCGGAGAAGGGACAGCAGGGGCAGTCTACCCAAAGACCATGACTGATGGCAAAAGGAAGAAAAGGACAGCCTGATCATCTTTGCCATGTGCAATGTTTGATACATTTTACACACAACCACATGTGGCGTGCCCTAGATACACCTTAATTCTCATAGGAGAAATGCACTGACAATTCCAAATACAGGGCCTGATTCTCCCCCCACCTTCCACTTTATGTAGTTGTTTACACCACTGCCTAGTAGGTGTAAACAGTGTTCTCTAGTCACTTACCAGGGGTAGCATTTTACTTCCTCTTCACACAAGCATAAATGACTACCATAAGTGCAAAGCAGTGAACAATCAGGCCCACAGAATGCAAAAAGAAAACCTTTAAAAGATCTTAAGGGTGCATATCCTGGAAGGGTAGTTGGATGGAAACTCAACCAATCTGGCAATTTTACTGATGCTGGGTCTCTACCCTTTGAAAGGCAGTAGTCCCAGGAAGTTCTCTGGTGGAATCATCGTTGGCTCACCAACCATTGAAATCATATTGTAAGGTATCTATGAACTCTTTGCTGGCACCATTTAGTTGTCCCAAAATAACTGCCTTCATTGAAGCCCCTTTGCAAAAGCTGATCAACTGCTCTTAACTCAGCCCACTATGAATTAATCATTTGCAGTTTGCAACCACATAAACTGGCTGTGCTGAAACAATATGCTCTGAGCCAACCAAAACTAGGCTCCATCTCATTTCAAGAGAATGAAAGGTTAAGTGACCATATTAACCAAAAAATCATTGTTGTAGTGTAGAGGAGTTAGGAATCCCCTCATGACCATTCCCCACAATACACATTCTATCCATATCAGAAACAGAATACTCTAAAGAATGTTGTCTGATATTCACATTTCTGTAAGTGACATTCACAGGCAACCAATCTTCTATGGTGTGCACGTCACTGGAAATATTAGGTTCCTCCTGCATGACCTTAAAAGCAGTCTGGAAGTTCCCCTCAAGAGGGTTGCATTTTCATCACATAGCAACATGTCCATTTTATGCCTACTGTAATGACAGCAACAGATTCTCTTAGGGGCTTACACTGCTACTCATAACTATAATGTCTGAGCACCTTCCTCATAAAAATCAATAGCTTAAAAGATATTACCTCACCCACCTTGTCTCTGCTTCACATATGCATTTTGGTTTGGGGGTTTGTTTTAAGGTTGATTTGATTCTGGGTAATTTTCTTTTAGTTGAGGATTTTCTGGGCAGAAGGGGGAGTCAAGCAGAAGGATGGCAAATGAAAGTCAGCCATGGTCTATGCTAAATGGTTAGGTCGACGCAAGGCAGCTTACGTCAACCTAACTATGTAAGAGTCTATACTAAAATTTCACTCCCACTGATGTAACTTGCCTGCTACACTGACTTAACTCCACCTCCACGAGAGGCACAGAGTCAATGTCGATGTAGTTAGGTTGATTCAGTGTCAGTGTAAACACTGTGTTGCTTACATCGAGTGTTGCTGGTTTCAGAAGCTGTCCCACAATGCCCCACACTGACAGTTTAATCGGTGCAAGCGCTCCTGGTGAGGATGTGCACTGCCAACACAAGGAGTAAAGTGTAGACTCACACAAGTGATGCAATTACTGCTGCAGCAGTTTGCCAATCAGTTTGGTGGACTTAATTTTGTGGTGAAGACATGCCCTCTGTGTTGAAAAATGCAAAGTAGTGCACATTGGAGGGAATAATGTAAACTACTCAGACATCTTACAGGATTCTAAATTAACTGTATCTAGTCAGAAAAAAAAGAGAGGTATCACTGCAGACTACTTAGCGAAGACTTCTGCTCAATGTGCAGAATTAGGAAAAATTTAAAAAAATAGCATGCATAAAGATGGAGAATAATACTGAAAGTATAATGCTATTATATGAGTGACCTCATCTGGAAAACTTCATTTTTTGTAACTCCTTTTCAGAAGGAAGGAGGAGTATGTGAGATGGTCAGTATGAAGGATTAGGGGTTGGGAAAACTCGCATACGAAGTGAGATTGAAGAAATTGGGACTGCTTACCTTAGACAGGAGATCAAATAATGAATGGTAGAGAGAAGATGACTGGGAACTTCTATTCACTTTTTTCATAATATAAGAGCAAAGGAGATATTCAGTGTAATTGAATGGACAGAAATTTAACACACATAAAAAGAAACCCTTTTTTCACAAAATACATAATTATCCCATGGTACTCACTGCGACAAGATTTCATGGCAAGTAAAAAAAATTTGCAGTGTTCGAAAAGGGATTAGATATTTATGTGAATAACAAGACTATCTAGTTGGAATAAATAATAAAACAAACAAACAAGAGTTTTGGAAAGGACCCTTTACCAGCTCTAATGCTTCAGGGTTTAAGACAACCTTTAACTATTGGGGACTATGTAAATAAGTTCTCAAAACTGCCTGCTTCAAGGGTTTCTTGTAGCTTCCTCTGTAGCAGCTGGCGCTGGCCACAGTTAGAAATAGGATTCCGGATTAGACGGACCACTGGTCTGAGCCAGTACAACAATTCTTATGTTCAGTATTGGTATCTTGCTGCATGATAGTGGTCTATCTGGATGCCATCAAAATGGAGAAGCAATACTAGTATATGAGCCAATAACCCAGGACCTATTCTGTGATGTCATTAATAGATATATGAAAATGAGTCCTTATGAAGCCTCAAACAACACGAGTCTTGCTTCGAAATTGATGGTTCAAATCCAGCTCAGAACAAGACATTACTGTCAAATGGCCCATCAGTGAGCTACATTAAAATGAGCTGGCGATCGTAACTAAATGCCTAGAGAACAGGTCTTCGCAATACAATTTCTAACAACGGGTTCTCTTGCCGGTAGTTTTAGTATGAAGGCCAAGTGCTGAATGGATGTGGGAGTTATATTGCCATGCTGCGCAGTACCTGTTCTGAGGTTAACAAAGGACTTCAGTTTCCAATGCTGAGAGTGCAATAACCTCTAACGAGCACAAAATTATAACTTCCTCAGCCTTTAGATTTGGCCCAGAATGTCAGCTTTAACTTGGAATTTTCTAAATTTTATAAATACAGTATTGTTTACTCCTTGTGTCTGTTTATTCCTCACTTTATTTACCCTCTTAAAGAGAGCTTCCACTTGGTTAGGACTTGAACAAGTATAAGCTCAACAGGATGAATTTTCCTTTATACTGTAATAACTCTATATTGTTGCCTAGAGGGTGACAGAAAGTAATGTAAGATTCATAAAAATATAACTGTCTGAACCTAGTAGACAGAATTATGGTAAGCATTAACAAAACTGTATTTCCCTATACTATAGGGTGAAATCAGAATATCTTAATGTTTTCTTTCCTGGGTCACATAATTCTGCAAAAGCACACCAAGAGAGAAAAGGGCTGCTCCTATTTGCTAGATATTTACTGTCTCAAGCTTTTGAGCAGGTTGAATTGTAATTACTTTATTCCATTATCTCTCAAGTTTGCATTTTACCCATACATCATCTCCTAAAGACCATTTGGTTTAAGACTTTTTAAAGCCATAAACAAATTGAATATTTATATTCATTTAAGCTGTAATTCAGGGTATTTCTAGTAGTCTCCTTCTAGTTCAGCCATTAAATCAGTACATCCTTAGAAAAACAGAAATACATTCCTTATCATTGAACAATAATTCCCATTCTTTACCTGAGAAGTATTTTTCTTTAAAAGCATCTGTGGATACATTTTAGCTTTATTGGAGATGGCATAATGGCTCGTGTACAGTGTTTTAATCTGATTCTAGAATGCTTTTGTTTTTTAAGCCTGGATAGGGGAGAATTTAGAAGTGCTAACTTTGTTTTGGAGAAGAGTGGGAAATAGTTCCGAGTTCTCACTGTCCTAAATAGGAAGCAGAGTCATAAATATCTTGATACAGTTCAACAGCAGTGTAGTTGATCATCCTTGCTGTCAACAGTGATTGGCTGTCAATACAGGAATACCCATTATGGGAATGAGCCAGGAGGAAGACTGCAGGGGTAAGAACAAGAAGCCTCAACAAACTCTGTAACACCGTGTCCGAAAAATGTCGGGTACCATTTTGGGTCTGAGGTCCAGAAAAGCCATATATTTTTATGTAGCAGCTACATTGAATTGCATTAGCACTGCTTCTGAATTGCATCCTACAGAAGAGCTAGCCACATGCAGCAGTTGTTTCCAGTAAAGAGGAAGCTAAATAATAGCAGTAACAGGGTATATCTCATAGGCAAAGTTAGAAGGGTGGTTTTTGTTAACAGTTATCAAAGGAAGAAAACCTTGTACAGGAAAGACTATGGAGGAATAAAGGAAGAGATAATGCATTATAATATTTTGGTTGAACAGCATTTCAATAGTTAGTTTTAACAATCTTTAAATAATATATCTAAAAACAATGGAAACTATATACACTTATGCTAAACAGGCAGTATGGATTTGAAAACCATGCTTTTGGGGGCGGGGGGAGGATAGCTACAGACTTGAGAATGGATATTTTCTTATTTCTGGATGTATGGTAATTTAATATTTCTATATTTACTTTAATTCTTAAAAAGCCAAGAGGTGGAGATATGTTGACAGACTGGAAAAGGGAGGTATTATTAATTAAAGCTAATGTAAGTCTAAGATTAAAATAGTGTTCTTGCATATAAATTTGTTTCAATGAGCTGTACCCACTGTAATGTTAAGTGACTGCATAAATTAGGAAACGTAACAGACATACTGGTTGAGGACTAGATGGTCCCATTGTTTTATGCACCTCTGGACAACTCAGATTCAATTTCTCTTATGCTTCCTGTGTAGGGATTTTGGTTTTTCTCATCTTAGGTGATAAGCTGTGGTCATTTTTCCGTGACTGGCATAGACTGGCAAAAGCTGCATTTTCTGCAAAGAGAGCCTGATCCAAAGCCCACTTAAAAAGAAAAAAATCAATGGAAAGATTCCCACCAGTGTAAAATGGTGTATGAGAGATCAGAATCAGGGCTTCATATACTATGGGGATGTTATCTAGATATATGAAATTAAGTAGATCCAGAGAGCAGAGGCAGGAAGTATCCTTGTCATACTTTCTCAATTTTTCCCTTAACCTACCAGCATCACCTCTATCTTCTCTGGATTGCGGCAGCTCACTGTCATCCAAGTCTCTTGTCTCACCAAGGCACAGAGAAAGCAGAGGCAGCAAGCAGTCCAGGCGGTTCTTAAAGTGGTCTGAAAAAGGTGGATGAGTCTATGATAATCTGAAAGCATCAGCTTTGGTAAACCAGTACTTCAAGTACACCCCTCATTGACCTTGCTCAATTCTTTTATTTCAGGTGTGCAATTCCCACCTCCACCCAGCTTTAAGAACTAAGTCCAGATCTGATGAGAGAGAAATACAGAGCTGCATTATCATTCTATTGTGCATGCTGATGGCATCAAAGCCTATTTTCTCCAGCAGATTTATGACGTACATTGAAAAGGAGAGATGAAAGAAGAAAACACAGTGAAGTCCTCATGCACAAGTCCCTGGGCAGGTGTCCAAAATGATCCTCTGGAATCTCTTGGAAAGAAAGGGGCAGAACTCCTCAATATGCCACTTACCCAAGCCAAGGTCAACAAAACCTCGTATCAGTGGTGTCAAAGGCTGCTGACATAACTAAAAGAATCAGCAGGCACCCTTGACCTTTATCCACTGCTAAAAGGAGGTAATCAGCCAAATAGTTCTGTACTGTGTCCATGTGGTAGCCTAGTGAAAGCCAAACTGAAAGAGATCAAGGAAATTCATGGTCTGCAGATGACACCCTGATCTTCCCCAAAAGGAAAAATTAGGTTTGGGCCACCTGTTGTTTAGTGGAAGCTCATGTGTTTCACTACCTGGGGCACGCTGTACGTGCAGAAGAAGAACAGGATTTGCCCTGAATTCGTGTCTGTTTATGCCTTCTCCTAAGTATCTGACTGTTCTTTTGTTATGTGTAATTTAGCATCCTTAGAGGATGCCACCTGTCATGTGCAAATACCTTTTAAATTATTATATTGACACAGAAATCGCAGATGCCTGATTTACATTGTAACCTGCAGCAAGAAGGATATTTGTATTTGAGAGAGTTTTATGATTTTATTTACTTTTTTGTGAAATTTTTTGGCTTATGATTTTGTCATGTATGGTATGGAAAGAAGGGCTATCCAGGGGTTAATGCATACATTAGAACTGCCCCATAATACGATTCCAAACTCCAGTAGCTTTCTGGAATATTGCAGTCTTATACATTCATCAAGCTGTAGCATAGAGAGTAATACCGTGAAAATCTCTTAAGCAAACAATGACAGAGATGATGATGGAGTAGTAAGAGTAAATTTTCAATTCACTAGGGTTAACAGCGCTGCACTGTATTTTCTAAACAAAGGTTACTGAACATTTTCTAGAGTACAGGCACACTTAATAAAGAACCACAATATTAAAGATGAGATAAGGGAGACAGATAAAATTCACAGCAGGAAGTTCCATATAATGCAACATTTATAGACGTTTCCACTACGCTATTTTGTTGAATGCCTCAGTACTGTATTTAAAACAAAGTGAGTCAATCCTGCTCTACCATTTAAGATGAGCTCAGCCTACTTAATGCTATGGAAGTCAAACTCTAGTGATGTTCATCTTTTCTGAAACAAACTAAGGTTGTCTCAACAAGGTAAATTTTTTGGCTCTTAAAAACACTTGAGTTCTTGTGGTTTTCATTTCACTGTAGTTAGCAGAAGCTAAAATGTATCTTTCCTTGGAGAGGCTGACAACTGAGAGTTTAGAATTAAAGAGATCATGCACTATGAATCAGATATTCTGCTGGGGTCAATACGTGGAGTAAAGACCGGTTTTCTTACTAAGGCCTTGAAAGTGCATTGTGCTATTTCAGAACAATCTCCTATATTAGTAAAATGTGGGCAGGAATTGGAGAAGGGAAACCAAGTTAGGAACACATGATTTGCCACACTGGATCAGATCTCTTGTCTAGCAACAAAGGTATCTTGTTTTCACAAGTAATAAAAAATGATCCTTAAGAGAAGAGCCAAAAACAAACCCAAAAACTCAACCATGATAAAGTCAAATCATGGTGGCAAAACTCTTACTGGTTTCTTCAGGATTTCTCTCATAATGCCTTTCCCCAAGTGTGCAGTGCTGTTGCAGAGGTGAGGCAGCAGAAGGGATCATTGGAAAGGGATTCCTTCCAGACTCCTCCAGCATGAGATAATTAAATGTAGACGCAGTAACCATTTCATTTTTCCACTGTGAAAAAAGGGTTTGTCTTGTTCCTGTAGTTATTCATTGCTCCCTATTTTACTGGCCAGCCCTTAGAATTATGCTGCAAAGTATTTTACTGGTTCTCTAACTGTCATCCCATTTAACACATTCTGTGGTTTGCTAGCTGATGATAGCTTAAGCAGAATTTAATTGCTAACATATTGTCAGTTGAATTAAGGGCCATATGATACCAATTTAAACCTTGCTAATTTTTGCATAAAGATCAATCTGTCATCAGATTGCAGCAGAAAAATAGTCATAAATCAAATTGTCAGGTTTATTAGTAATTGCAGAAGTTTTGTTGTCTTGAATTCACTATATTCTCTCTTTAATACCTATTGAAAGGTATTTTTTGCTAGATGTTAGTTTTGTGTGTGTGTGATTTTCTCTCATACATGTACAGTGACATACATCACTCCCCCCAATATTTATATATATATATACACACACACACACACACACACACGTTATAGGAATGCAGTGCTATTACACATTCTAAAATGACTTGTGCAACTACAATGACTAGCCTATTGTATTTGTCATTACACTTTTCCTGAGATAGCAAAACTATTTTTTTCCACTTTAAAATGCCACCAGGGAGAAACTGCAACATTTATACACCTTTCTCTTTAAATTTTTTGAAATCCTGTAGTTGAACATTTTCTGAAGTAGTGACTAGGGTGCTTCTATTTTTACATATTGCTTTGCAAAGAGTCAACCTGTTTTTATGCACTAAAACATGCAACATTAGCCTTATACAGATGACAAGGGGCCATACAGCACAGACTGCCAAAAACCCATGCCCATCTCAGGAGTACGGGGAAGGTACTCTTTCTCTATCTTGGAGCTTTCTAAAACCTGCGGAGAGGCCACTCCATGGGAGAGGTGCTGCAGATGAGTGTTAGGAACAGGGCCTATCAATCAGCTGGCATGATCTGTATATTTGTGTGTGTACACACCCTAACCCAGCAATGAACCTTACAAAACACATACACAGATTATTTATGCTCCTGGCAGGAATAATCTGCACTAGAAGGCTGTGCCTGGGTTGCTTATGGCCAGACTACAGGCACACATTAATGCTGCTTTTGTAGCACATATATGTGCTGTTTTGAGGACAATCGCACATTAAGACAGAATTGCCCCCACCTTTAATGACATGGGCTTTTATTTGCAGTTTGCCTATGACTACTAAATGAAAGCGGTAATCTAAGGAAGATTTTCAGCAGATTCTCATTTTCTGTTTGTGTATAATGGAATTCATTTTTGGCAATGGTCAAGGATATACAAACTGAAAAATGAGAAGGAGGCTGAAGAAATGGCTATGCAGTGGACATTATTATGGAAGAGATGAGCAATCAAAAAGAAAGAACCCCATGAATATTGTATATAAAATGATGCCGTATAAATTGCTGTTACCTTTAGTGACAGTAACTAATAGAGCATTCATGATAAAAATTGCAGGATGATTTGCACCACTATTCATGAACATGATATAAGATACTGTGTTTGTTAATGTTCATATACAGTAACAAATATAGTACACACAGACATGCACATAATTAAAGCCAGGCTTTCTGGTATGCTAGTACCATTTGCCAAAGAATAAGTTGCATACAAGTGGATTTGCATACAAATGAGAAACTGACAGAATAATAATGGGACTTTGATAAGACCACATACCCATGTGGTTAAGTCACTTCAATAGCAAAGAAACATTAGCATTAAATGAGTTTAAAAGGTGATCACTACCAAAAAAAAACCCATAAAAAAACTTAAGCAAGAGGTAGCAACATACATACAGAAATTCAAAAATATTAAGTATTTCAAAATAAAAAAGACACCACTGTTAAGTCCATCTTTTAAAGATGAGTATACTTTTTAAATTGAAATAGAAATTGATTTACTGTTGTATACTGTCATCAAGCCACACCTGAGCACATGCTTTAATCATTGTGGCATTATGTATGGCCTTAAAGAATTAGGCTCTAGAGAACAAAGCATTTAAGCTTGTGCTTAACTTGAAGTTCATACTTAAGTCCCATCAGGGCCTGCGCTTCCACTAGGCGACCCTAGGCGGTCGCCTAGGGCAGCAGGATTTGGGGGGCGGCATTTTGCCGTCCTCGGCAGCAATTCGATGGCGGGGGTCCTTCCACTCTGCATCTTCGGGGCGCTTTGGCAGCAGGTCCTTCACTCGCTCCGGGACCCGCCGCTGAAGCACCCCGAAGATGCGGAGTGGAAGGACCCCCGCCGCTGAATGCTCAGAGGAGGAGCGCTGCCACCTAGGGGGGGGGAGGGATAGCTCAGTGGTTTGAGCATTGGCCTGCTAAACCCAGGGTTGTGAGTTCAATCCTTGAGGGGGCCACTTAGGGATCTGGGGCAAAATCAGTACTTGGTCCTGCTAGTGAAGGCAGGGGTCTGGACTCGATGACCTTTCAAGGTCCCTTCCAGCTCTAGGAGATGGGATATCTCCATAAAAAAAAAAAAAAAAACCCTGGCACCGCTCCTGAGTCCCATTGAAGTCAATGGAAGTTAAATTGACTGCCAGTGTCACAGTATCATAATTTTAAAACCTGGAAAGCCATCCAGTTAAGTGCTTTGAAGAAACGTGGCCTTGGAACTTTTAGTTCATACATTAGCTGAGAGACCTCTGAATTTAAGGCTTAAATCGAGCTCCTATTGAAATTCAATGAGAGAGTTTTCCCCCCACTAACTTAAATAAAAGCTGGATCAGGTCCTTTGTGAACAATCTAAACCCAGATGTACTGATCTCCTTTGCTGATAGGAAACAGGGCCGGCTCCAGGCAACAAGCACCCAAGCTGGTGCTTGGGGCGGCACCTGGAGGGGGGCGGTGGCGCGGCGCTCTGGCCGCGGGGGGCTGGAGAGCCGAGCCCCAGTCGGGGCTCGCCGCCCTCCCCCCAGGGCTCCGGCCGCCCTGCCCCCGGCGCTCTGGCCGCCGGGGGGGGGAGCCGAGCCCCCGCCGGGGCTCGCTGCCCTCCCCCCGGGGCTCTGGCCGCCGCGGGGGAGAGCCGAGTCCCCCCCC